ACACAATTGTGAGTGTCCTTGAAATCCTGTAGATTGTCCTTTGAATTCAAAAACATGATTTGATTCTTCAATTTCATAGCTTGTTTAGCATATAAAGTGATTTTCGCTCAGAAAATACAATTTTTTTGATCTTGGGTCTGAAAGGGTTATAACAACTATATTAATTTATCCCTTTCAGTTCCACTATCAAGAAAAAAAAAGGTCACCCGTAGTATATCTGTCCCTCACCAGGAACATTTTTTTCTGCAGGTCTAAGGCCCGTATTCTCCGTTTATCATGCAAAGCCAAGCTTTGCTAAGCTCGGCTGAAAAAGAAAGCTCGGCTTAAATGTTGATGTTATGCACCGTGATTATTTAAGCCAAGCTTTCTAAAGCCTACAATACATGTGGCAACGCCGGAAAAGTGGGGAAATTATCGTAATAAATCATGCCATAAGCACAACAAACATAGAAGAAGATCAAATTGAATGTCAAAATTGTGAATTTCAAAAGTTGGGAGATACTGTAGTTAGTAGTTAGGTAGGATATGAGATTTCAGGTACTAAAGTTGGAAAATATAAATTGAGGTTTATCATCTCTAGATTCATTGTCTCGAATCTGTTTTAGACAGTTTTCGACTCTGATATTCTCAGTACTTTTCTATTCCAATTTGAAAATGGCATCTACAAGCCACAAAAATCGAGCACCAAATTTTACCTATGCGGAAAAAGTGCATTTGATGCGTTTAATTGTTGACAAATATGCTGACACCATTGAAGATAAAAAAACCGACAGAGTCAGTGCGGCACAAAAAGAAAAAACCTGGGAACTTATAGAGAGTGAATTTAATGCATCTTCTAGTAGTACTTATAGAAATGCAGCAAATTTGAAAAAATGCTATGAAAACAGGAAGAAAGAATTGAGGAAGTCCTTGGCAGAAGAAAGGAAACAAACCCTTATGACTGGTGGGGGGCCNGCAAAAAGCGGCTGCATTAGGAATTCAAAAGAGAAAGATAATGGATCTCCTGGCATTTCGAGAAAGCGTTGCAGAGCATCTGATACTGTTCAAGAATCCTCCTAAGAGGGGACGGCCAAGTAGTGACATAGATTCGCCAGTTCAGGTAAAAAAAAAGTTTGAGGCAAGGCCATTTGAAGAAATGAGGTATGATGGCTATAATCATTTTCCAAATGTGGATGAAAGGAAAGAAAATTCCAGATGCAAATTAGAGGGATGCAAAAATAAGACCCATGTGCTTTGTATTAAGTGTAAAGTTCATTTGTGTTTGATGAAGGGAAGAAATTGTTTCACGAAATTTCATTCAAAATAGTGTTTTTTAATGTTCTTATTTGAATAAATATTTCCATCAGGAATTTTGGTTAACATTATATCACTACTCCAAGACATAATGTCCCTGCTGAAGGACATTTCAAAAAACTAGGAAACATTATGAAAATATCATGTTTACGACTTTTATTCTTTAAAGCATGACAATCAACGTAGTTAAATTGAATAAAATATTTTTTTCCACAAAAAATGACAGATGTGTACTTCAGAGGTACTTATGACAGTGTCCCTCTGGAGGGACAAATACACTGAAAGGGTTAAAACACTTGCCCTAAGGCTCTTCAGTACCAAACTAGATAACATAGAAAATACACACAATGTATTTTCTATAATGGTATCTATACACAATACACACAATGTATCTTCCTCTTTGAAGGTGATCACTTGGTGATCGAAACACGTGTCGAGGTGTTAAAAATAACGATTTGGTGTTGGGAAAAAACTCCAGTAACATTCATTAGTACACCAAAGGTTCCAAACAGTGCATCATAAGTGATGTGGGGTAAGTGAAAACAAGTTAGCTGTTATATTTCGTTTCCCACTCCCTATTAGGAAGTTCTTTTCAGCGATTTCTTATATTTTATTCGGTTGCTCAGATATAGCCATTGTAAGCTTTCAAATTGTCACCCTGTATATGAAAGTAGGTATTTCAAGTGGTTTTTTCTTCCAGTTTCTGCCTGAAAGTTGCTTATTTGCATGATCTACACACATCTTTACTTGGAGTTGAATTTTGGGATTAATTGCTTCCTTTCTTCCTTTGGATAATTCCCACATTTTTTTTTAACGATGGTCAACTTAACAAACTATTACGGTTTCTGATTTTCCCATACTAGCTCTCCTCATCATGGACACACTGTTTACTTACACGTACACACACTATTTGTACTAGTATATACTACTTAGTCAACTACAAATGACCTCGATGATACGCATCATAGTTTGGCAAATACTTATCATTTATTATTCTAGATCCATCTAAAACGGCCAAATGGCGAGAATTGTCACTTAGAAGCCTACTGTTATCGCTCAAATTCACGTTGGCTAGCAGTCTATTGTCTTGGGTGAGTTGTCTGCCATCACTTGAAAGTAACCGTGTAGTATTATCAGTTACTAGTAATCTCAGTGGTGGGGGGTCAGTAATATCGATCAACAGTCTTGTACTATCGTTTTGCAACAACCTTGTGGCATCTTCGAGAACTCTGTTATCAGCCAACATTTGCGAACTATCCACTAATCTCGATCCATCAGTGCTGAGCATGCGGTTATTATCCGACAGCATCCGCTGAATAGGTTCGTTTTGAATCATCCTGCTGTCTCCTGCCTGTACAAGTCGATTCGAGTGATCTGGGTTATGTAGTGGCCTCTGCTGTGTGTGCTGTTGGTTGTGGTACTTTGTGTCGCTGTTTTCTTGGAATTTGGTCGACCTTTGTTCTTGAGGATACTTTGGCGATGGAGCGTGGACTTTCATGTGTGTATTGAGAGTACTCGATTGCGAGAACGCCTTCCCGCAAGTTACACAAACATAAGGGCGTTCTCCAGAATGAACCCTCATATGCCTGAGTAATATTGTATTAACGGTGAATCCTCTGCCACACACGGAACAAACGTAGGGACGTTCGCCAGTATGGTTTCTCATATGATACTTCAGCTTCATCACTGTAGTGAATCTAAAAAAAAAAAAACGCTAAATAATAATTGAAGCACTACAAAAAATATTTTTAAATGAAATCAAGGGCAATGGGGCATGTTCCTCCTGACGAAAATCAAGTAGTTTTCATAAAAGAGCTCTAAAACAACGCGTTTTAAACTTATCATTTCAACCTTTTTCTTTAAAAAAATATTTAAATACTTAAAAA